TAATATATTTGGAAAAGAAAGCGTAAAAATATATTATATTTTATATCATAAGTCTATATGATCCAAACCGTATCAAGTCCGTGAGCTCTATAATGTAACAATTTATTTGTTTAAATATGGCCTTTTTTTTCGTTTTTATTTTCAAATCTGCTACAATAATTTACAATTCTGTTCTACACGTATGCAAATAATAATTCGGTTCAATTTTGGGCTATTAACAATAATTTTAGGAATTCTTTTAGGTCAATCTTGTTTGAATAAAACTCAGACCCTCAAATTACTGTTTCAAAGTTTGATTTTCTATGAAATTAATGTTTTTTGCTAACAGATAAAAAAGTAATTACATTTTTCTGAAAAAAAGTCTAAAATTAATATTTTAGAATATATCCGTCTTCGGGGTTGTTTTTTTTCATAAACTTTATCTCTTTGATATTTTTGTTTATTTTTTAGTTTTTAAAAAGATAAAATATTACATTTTTATGTATATTAAAAACTAGTCTTTAATCAAAAGCAGTACACTCCAAAACTGAGAAACGATCAAATCATTGATCAAAAAAAACGTAATTTTAAAGTTCGGGGTTTCCCTGCCGATCTATAGTGAATATATTTGAATTTTTCTTATCAACATAATTTCTTTTTAAATGTTGTTTTTACTAACATCTAGAATTAAAAAACCCAATAAAACTCACTTATAAAACCCAAAAAAGCCCAATGGGTTGGGTTTTTTAGGTCATCAAAATTTTTATTGTTTTTGGTACCTTACAAATAAAATTAGTTGAAAAAACAATAATAAAACCATACATTAATGGTTAATTAACATTTTGATAACATTTTAAATTTTAAAGACTTTAATTTCATATTCCTATTTCCTAATATTTTAATTTTAGAGATTCGACATATGGGGCAAAATTTGCCAAGTGTACCAGGTGAAAAAATTTTTGTCACCGATTTTGTTTAAACTTTACTTATTTGTTGTTCTTATAACGAAGAATCATAGCATAACATTTTTTTGCTCTAGGATTGTTCATTCAAGAGATGGATTATTGAAATTTATCGATAACCACCTTAAATAATTTTTTCCGTACTTTTCAATGGGCTATACTGTTTTTGCTAAAAAATAAAAATTGCAATTTTTTTTGAAATTTTGCAAAATTTTGCATTTTTTGAAACAATGTGTATTTTTTATTTTTTTTTTAAATAGCATAAAATCCAAGTTTATTATGTTACCTTTGAATAAAAAAAAATTTAGAGTGGGCCCAACATGTAGAAGGGAAGTTTTTCATATTTGAATGCCGCACGGTCTAGCCATCGAATAGCTACTACACTGCCGTATGCGTTTATACCTAGTAGATGGGAGTAAACGAATACAAAATGATAATTTAAAATGTAAAATTATGTTTGAGTAGTCAATGATGTATTTTACATATTTACACTGCCGTATGATAAACTAAGTCGCGAAAAAGTTGATTTTTTTTCGTATTTTTTGTTGTACGAATCGGAATTTTTTTCCCGGATTTTCAGAAAAATTGATTTCTGCATTTATTTTCGTAAAAACTTATAGGCTATTTTTGATTGACGCGCATTTCTCCAATTTTAATAAAAAAATTATAAAGTCGAAAACTATTTACTTTAGGTATAGGACATGGTATAGTAATTTTATGTAAGAGTATTCACCAAATCTAGAAATCGCAAATTGTTGAAACGTGTAAAGAAACAATTTTATATTTAATTTATACAAAATTACTTACAAATTGTTGTGTTTATCCAAAAATTAACTAAGTAAAAAGTACCTTTCATTTTTTTTAATATATAGATAACGAAAAAACGCCACTGAAAATTTCAGAGAATTTGCAAGTTTCTAATAAAAAAATTAAAAATGGCTGTCATCAAGAAATTTTAAATTTTTTCCGAAAATTTAAAGAAAAACGTCAAAGATAGGTCTAAATAATTTGTTTCTATATTTTTTTAAAGTACATTTAAAAAAAAAACGTATTGTTAGTTATACTGAGCGAGTTTTAAGTTGACGCGTTCCTTTTAACAGCGTGTAGAAATCAGATAAACAAATAAATATTTTAAGTAACTTTTTTATCAAAACTCAAAAATAAGAGAGTTATAGGCCTTCCAAATTTAATTAAATTTTGAGCCGGTCCTAGCTATTGTTAACAAAAAACATAACCATAAAAATAAAAATAACAAAATAAACAATGCAAAATGTCATCTATGACAACAAACATAACCATTTAAATCAAAATGACATTTAGCAATGAAAAATGTCATTATTTATTTAGTTTTTTTGAATTAATGGAAATGTTACTAATTTATGGAGAGTGTCGTCAAAATGCAAATGCTGCAACTTAAGTAAATAATGACATTTTTTATTGCAAAATGTCAATTTGATTTAAATGGTTATGTTTGTTGTCAAATATGACATTTTGCATTGTTTATTTTGATATTTTTATGGTTGTTTTTCTTTAACAATTGCCAGGACCGGCTTAAAATTTAATTAAACTTTTTTATTTTTGAGTTTTGATAAAAAAGTTACTTAAAATATTTATTTGTCTAGCTGATTTCTACACACTGTTAAAAGGAACGCGTCAACTTAAAACTCACCCTGTATATAACTTTTTTTAGTTGGGTAAAGAAATTTAAAAAAAATGTTTTTTATAGGGTAGAAAAAGATAAACAAATTTCAGCCGAATCGGGTCAAAAGTGGGCGATTTGGTATGGAAGGCCTCAAGTAGATAATTGTAACCGCTAAAATCCGAAAATAGTGATTTAAATAGAGATGGGAATCGGAAAGTTTCCATTTTAAGGAAACTTTCCGTTTTGGAAAGTTTCCAATTGGGAATTTATTTTCATTTTGAAAGTTTCTTTTAAGCTACCGGAAACATTCCTTGGAAACTTTCCTTGTTTTTTTCATTTAAATGTCAATTGTTTAACCGCTGATTTTCGTTAAGGCCATGATACAGGGCCAAGAAACTTTGAATAAGAATTTAATGTGTGTTAATTTAAAGCAGAAGAAGAAGTATAAATAATGTAAGTTATGTTACATAACCTCAATGAAGCCGGATTATTCATCATCACAAAAAACTTAAAAAAAAAACAATAAACAAAGTTAAAATCATTCTTACATTTTTGTTATAGGCATAGCACAATGCCAAGAAAAAAATCTAGTGTTTGGAATTATTTTTTACTTTACTTTTTACTTTTCAATATTCCTATATATTAGTTACTTTGTCCCTTTTAATTTTTTTTACGTAATATCTAGGATTTACTAGCAGTGAATTTCTAATAGTAAATATTTTATTTTTATTTTATAGGTTTCAGTATAAAATAGGAATATTCCAAAGTAAAAGATAGGTACTAAAAATAGTATTGCAGTTACATTCTTATAAACATTTTTTTAATTTTTTTTCTTAATAAAATTTGACAAAAAGTTATTGTGTTATATATTTTTGCAAATCCCTGGCATAAAAAAATATATTTTCGCAATAAAAATTTTGTTTTGAATCTTTCGGAAAATTTCGGGAATTTTCGATGGAAAGTTTCCGGGAATTTTCGTCAAATGGGAATAGTGATGTAGATAGGGTAAATACCCAGTGGGTAGGTAAATAAAATTTGGGTAAATACCTGGGTAAATACCCAAATTTTATTTACCTACCCAAAACTGGGTAGTTTTGATAAATGCGTTATTATTTATACTTTAAATAATATTAAACTTCCCTATTAAACCATATAAACATAAACGTACTAGAATTGTCTCTGAACGCACTTAATCGTGGAAAACCGCTTAATTGTTGAAATGCACACATAGACCAGGGTCGATAATTTTTGAAACCAAAAAAAATAACAGTAGGATGAAACCCATTGGAAAAGGAGAAGAATATAATAAAAATGAAAGGAAAAATAAATTACGAGCGATCTGACTTCGGAAAGTGGGAGGGGGGGGGTTTTAAGGGTAAAAAATGGTTTATCTCGATTTCCGGCAAAACTACAAGTCCTATGGAAAAAAGTTAAATGGCAAAGTTGTAGGTAATAAAAGGATCTATAACTTTTGAAATTACAATTTTTTGAAATCCAGCAGATTTTAATTTCTCTTCTTTCACCTTGCATACATTTTTGTGAATAATTTGATACATATTTAAAAAAAACATTGGCATTATAGATAAAACTAAGTTTTAAATAATATTATCTAAGATCTAAGGTAGGTACTACTACGGTATACTTCACTATATTGAATAAAACTATTTATTGATTTCTAGGGATAGAACGATATCACTTTTTTTGCCGATACGATATATCGGCCGATACCGATATTTACGTGCCGATATACCGATATATCGTATCGGCAAACATAATTCCATCTATTTATACACGACCGAAGCAAAAATCGGGGAAGTCCCGTTTTAATTCCGTTGCGAGGAAACGTTTGTGATTGGTAGTGAGTGACATTTCGGATTTCTGGGAAGCCCCTTATACAGTGTGTATTAAAACGAATAGATACACTTAAATAAAACAAGTGGTGGCCCACTGTGGTAGGGATTGAGAATTTATAGGTTTTATTTTTATCGAATTCGTTTGTTTTGTTGTAATGCATTTCTGCAAATAAAAACTAAGTATTGTTTAAAATCCATTAAATTCCAGATAATGGCGAAAATGTATTTCTTAAAAACTATACACATTTCCCTACGACAGTATTTCATTTATGCACTGAAGGTTGAAAAGCGCAATTTTTTTTTGCCGATATATCGGCAATTATCTTGCCGATACGATACGATACCGATAATCGGAAACAATTGCCGATATGCCGATATACCGATATTAATATCGGTATCGTTCTATCCCTATTGATTTCAAGCTATTTTTATGCAAGATTTAAATCGAAATACCCCTATAAATACCCTATTTGGGTAAATACCCTATTTGGGTAAATACCTGGGTATTTTACATCACTAAATGGGAATTTTCCCATCTCTAGATTAAAATGAAAGTTTTCTTACCTGCAAAACGCCATAACTACTCCTGCCGATGTCGTTGGAAGGCTGCAGCGGATCCTCTATGCACAGCATGCTGGGCCTGTGTCCGTCCACCATCTCCTTCTGCATGTCCTCCTTGTTGATGTACTTGCCGCCCTCCCTTATCCGTATGCTCGTGTTGATGTAGTTGAACTTCCTGCCGTACAGCTCGAAGAACTCGATCAGCAGCACGCCGAGGTTGCCGTTGCGCAGCGTCTCGGGCCGCGGGTGCAGCTGCAGGAAGCTGATGCACATCAGGATCAGGCTGTAGCTGGAGATGCCGCCGGTGAACACCTCGTTCAGCTCGCGCTCGAGCAGGAACTGCTTCAGCACGTAGACCAGCTTCGGCAACACCGGGTACTCTTTCACGTACGACTTTATCAGCTCGGCCGACTTGACGCCGTTCGACATGTTGAACGATATGTCCACTTTGATTTCCGTTTTTCGGTCGACTAGCTTCACTATGGGCACCGACGCCTTGTCCAGCACCTTTATGCTGTTGTCTTGTGCGATGTTGTTGTCGAGGAACTCCTGCTCCAGCGTCCTCAGCGGCAAGTTCGTCCACTTTCCTGCAAAACAAAAGTACCGCTCTAAAGTCTATTCGTTTATCAGACGGAGTAATATTTGAATTAGTCGTTTTCACTTTTAAATAGTTATTTTTTACTACGTAAATAGTAAAAGTTTGACTAATTTAAGATTAGTCACCATTAGGGTTGGGCAAATTTCACTTTTTGCTTGTACTTGAAATTTCACTTTAAATTTTCATGACATTTATGAAATTTATTAAAATTTCCTAAACTTCTGAAATTTATGAAACTTATTGAAACTTTCAATAAATTTCAATCACTTTAAGTGTATTAATATTGAAATAAGCCCATTCGGGGACCATGGCAAATTGCCTCTCTTACCTCCTACCCCTCTGTGGGCCCCTGCACCAATAATATAAATAGTAAATATCTATGTTTACCACAAATTTCTTTCCTTTTAAAATATTTTTAAAATTACTAAAACTAGAGATATAGCACTTTTTGGTAAGCTAATGAGATTGTGCCACTTTCATTGTTTTATATTTATATATATTTATTATTTTTATATATTTTACTGAAATTTTACGAAAATTGAAGAAACTTCATCAAAAATTTATGAGCCAAAGGCAGTTTTTATCCGCTTTCCGATGCAATTATAGCAAAAGTAATAGTTTAAATTAATCATGACTATTAAAAAAAATTTAAAGTCAGATTTAATTTACAAATTAAATTGGTAACTGAATAAAATTATTTAAATTAATTTATGCATATAAGTAGCAATAAAAAATAGGGTGTTCCAGTTCCAATTTTAGTACTGATTAATTTCCACCCTCGAATCATTTATTTTTATTCTAAAAATTTTTCGTAAAATAGTATGCATTTACTGAGATATTTCAAAGTTTCAAGTTAAATGACTCACACTGTATATATCGTTAGTTCAACCAAAATGGTCAAACATAAAAAGTGTCTTCGTGCCCCACAAGATATCTTATATTATAATATTATCTATGCAAAATTTTAAGTCTATTGAATATGCTAAAATCCAAAAAGTAGTTAAAAGATAAAGTAAAAGAGGCTGATAATATGACAATTATTTCAGATGGTTGGACTAAATGTCAATGGGGTGGCACTAATAAATATAATTGTAGCAACTCCAGAGCCTGTATTTTTAAAAACGATAGACTCAGGTTCACTCAAAAATGTTGATTTTACTTTGCCTGTAGTTTTTTTTGAACCGCATTGAGGCTGTATTTGAAGCTAAAATAATACTAGCTGTTTTTACTATTCCTATAGCATATTCATCCAATTAAAAAAACCTCGAAAAAAACAATCAAAACTTTTTAACAATTAACAACAATTACAACATTTGTAATTCTTTAATTGTTGTTAATTGTTAAAATTGTATTGATTTTTTTTGGTTCGATAAATATAGCACAGGAATGCGCATTTTAAAATTTGGCGTTAAATTTAAAATGCGCATGAAAAATTTTAAAATGCGCCCAAATCTGCATGGGTGCACGTCATAAACGGCATATGACGTCAGCGTTCATACATGCCCAGGCATAATCTAACGCATTGTTATAATCTTCTACACTAACTAATTAGGAGTTTGTTACGGGCAAATTTTGATTAACTGTGTTTGGAGAGTAAACAAACGGAGTTTATTACATTTTTATTACAGATGTACATAACAAAAAAACACTAAAATACCACACAAACACAAAAATACTTCGCAATCTAATAACTGTTGCCAATTAGCCTTGTTACATTGTTTGCACAATCCAGCGGTAGAATATGATAAATACGGACGAAATTTCAAAATTACAAAAAAACGTCAAATATAAAATGACGGTGACCCAAGAATAATATTGAACGGTGCGTGCCAGCCTTAAGTTATTAGCAACTAGCACACACAAAAATTACTAAGTGAATGGTTTTAGTTTCCTAATTTCGTAAAAAACCTTTTAAAATAGGAAAATTGTTACAGTTTTTAGTAAACAGACATTTTTTTATAACACATCAGAATTACGCCTTACAAAAGCAAATTTAACGGCAGTAACTTTACAATTTAAAGTTGGTAATGCTGACGACATTATGTTGCATTGATGACGTGCACCCATACAGATTTGGCCGCGACAACATATACGTGTTTGAAAAAGGGAAAATATTTATTTTTAAAAAAACTGTGTAATTTTTCTGTGTAAATCGAAATTTATCCCTTGAAAATGACAGAAGCAGTTTTTTACAGTGAAAGTAAAAATAATGATTTATGGGCACTCCACGTGTCCAATAATGGGCGCCTTAAAAGTGGTACTAGAAAAAAAATCTCATTTTTGTTTGAATCAATTTTAAATCCGATTTTTTTAATAAAATGAGTGTTGTTTTTAATAAATGTTGGCGAAAATCGTTTAAATTAACTTTTTCTTTTGATAACGTCATTAGAAAATTGTTTTTTCTTTTGTATAAATGAATAGTCTTTGGAACAAAAAAAATTGATTTTGGAAATTACAAAAATGTTAAATCAAGAAAAAAAAAGAAATATTAAAAGTTGTTTATCAAAAAAAAAATATTTCAAATTTCGATATGTATCTCAAATATTTATATGTAGGTATGTAATTATGAAATGCTGAAAACCTTGTAAAACTAATAATAGGAGAAATTTTAAATATTATTTTTATAAAACTTGAAAAAAAAATATATAACATGTCCTATTTACAATAGGAAACAAATATAATTACGTAAAATACCATTTTCATTTTCAAAAAGCAGCTAATATAATTTAAATAATAATAAACAAAAAGTCAAAGTTCAGAAACATTATTCAAAATTTACAAAATCATACAAGATTAAGAGAAATTTCAGATAAGATAAGAAAACATTTGTTAACTTAGATAAAAGTGCCATTTTTTCTTTTAAAAAATTATAATTAAAAAAATAATTGTACAATTTTTTAATTTTAAATTTATCAAAATTTTGCGATATGCCCCAATAACCAAATATGCTTAGCAAAAAAACCACAATGTTAACGAACTTTCATACCTTTTAAGCTATAAATCAAATTATTTATTGTAAAATTTTCTCTTTTTTTAACATCTCAACAAAACAAATTTTACTATGTGTAGTATCTATAAGTATGTCTACCTAATTAATAAAACCAACAAAAAATAAAAAAATTGTTATTCATTTTTAAAAAGCAGTTAATATAATTTAATGATAAAAAGAAAACAAAAATTTATAAACATTCAAAATCATACAAAATAATGAAATCTTATGAGGAATTCCAGATAAGATAAAACAACATTTGTTAACGTTAAAGTACCATTTTATTCTTTTAAAAAATTACAATCAAAAAAATAATTAGTTACTATTTTTTTTAATTTAAAATTTATCTAAATTAACTTCACTGTAAAAAGTAAATATTGTGATATGCCCCAATAAATAAATATGCTAAAAAAACTCACAATGTTAATGAACTTTCATACCTTTTAAACTATAAATCAAATTTATTTACTTGTAAAATGGAAGTTAAAAATTTCTCTATTTCAACATCCTAACCAAACAAATTTTTATAGTATGTCTACCTAATGTTTGAAAACAACCAAAAATTTAAAAATTGTTTTGCTCACCTATTACAACTAGATCAATATCACTTGTGGGCAGGTACAGCCCCGTACGGTAGGAACCAAAAACTTCCACCTGAGCGTCTGGCCATTTGGAAAGTATCACTTTCTCTATCCTGGACACCACTTCGGCTCTAAGTTTGTGTTCTACGTCTGTGGGGCTCATGTAATTGTAAAAGTGTTCTATTTCTTCGTGCAAACTGAAATAAATTATTAATTTATTAAAAAACGGTTTTTATATGGTTTTTATTATTTTATTAAGGCATAAATTAAAATACCCAATTATTTTTAAAATTGAACCATAAAACACTTAATTGTTTAAGCCCACATACATATTTAATTTTTTTAAACCATGTTAATTTTACAGGTTTAACTATAACTTTTAATTAAATCATAGAATTATTTTTATGCAACAAAAAACTGGTAGAAAAGTTAATTGATTCATTCCATTTTATGCAAATTTTAGTATTTAATAAAAAGAAGGAAATAAATATGTCACACAAAAAATTAAATAAAGCGCCATAAGTGAATATTTGAAGGTCATGCATAGAAGAAATTAGATAGCAAAACTGCATAAATTTTTAATGAAGTTAATAATATTGAATGTTGTTTAAAGCTGTAATTAATTTCTTTTAAAACAAAGCCAATAATTTATTTATAAACTGATTATTAGCAACAATTTAATTCATATGCAATTATTGTTCAAAAATAAATATACAAATCAATAAAAAAATAATTTAATTAGACATAAAAATATTCGAGAAAACTTCCGTCACGCCAAAGGAAATCGGAAATTTTACAAGGTCATGCTTTTAAACACAAATGTTAAAAGACATAAAATTAAAAAAAAATTAAAAACAACATTAAGAACTTTTAGTATATAAATCGTATGTAGCTATTAAATGCTAAACACCTTGTAAAACCAAGGAATAAAAAAAAAATTATAAAAATAAAATACTTAAAAATTTTAAGTTAAAATCAACCACTGTAATTCAAAAAAGTTAAATAAATAGGTAGGTAAATAAAGAAAAGGTAAGTATAATAAAAACTTCAAAAAACATTAAGCAGGTTTTCTTATTATTATTAAAGTATTAAGGTAGTATCTACATTTAAAGAGTACCTACCTACATAGAATGTCTTCAAAATTTATTATATGATTTTGTGATGCATGAGACATTCACAAAATAATTTCAGATTTTTTAGTGCTCACACGGCCATTCCAAGCCCATGGACAGGACACATCAAAAACATGTCTAAATATATTCTTATTACTTCCTTAAGTTTACTTATTTTTTCTACGAGTATTTATGAGAAGTATTAGCCAAATTTGGCTAATACTTCTCATAAATACTCGTAGAAAAAATAAGTAAACTTAAGGAAGTAACAAGAATATATTTAGACATGTTTTTGATGTGTCCTGTCCATGGGCTTGGAATGGCCGCACAGGTTCCAAGAAAATAATATTAAGCTATCTGTGGGAAATAACACTTCTACACAAGTGTTATTATGAAAATCCCAAAAAACAATTTTTAGCACTTTTTAAAATTTTCATTTTAAATTTAGTGCTGCCAATTTAAGAAACACAAATATATTACACTTAAAACCATAATTTGACCAATTTATAACTACTTTTGAGGTTTTTTTAAGTTTTTAATGATACTTTAATTTGTAATAAAGTATTAATTTGTTGATTAAAATAGAACGTTTTATTTTTACCATATTGGCACCGCTGAATTTGCTTTTACCGCCTACTGTTATTTATTAATCAAACTTATCAAATGGAGATACTACTTTTTTTGTGTTAGATTAGAATATAAAATTAATAATTAATTTCTTCTTTTTTATTTTATCATAGTTTTCTAAATAGTATTAATAATTAATCAATTATTAGAAATTATTTAAAATAAAGATAAAAATATTCGAGAACATTTCGTTCCGCTAAAGGAAATCGGGGATTTTACACGGGCGAAGTTGGCAATACATTTAAAAACAAATGACGTCTTAAAATACCAAAATTTTAGGCCGATTTTTATGATTTCAAGGGTGAATGGGTATACAAACATGTCAAACTAAATAAATAAACCGAAAAAACTCGCGCAACGGCTTTAAATATCACAATTAAAAGAATAAAAGCTTCGTTTATCAGCCTCTTAAAATGTCGCAGGCGCCATCATGAAGGCCATCTTATGACAGATGCCGGAGTTAACTTGATGAAAAAAGTCAAATTTTTTGGTTAGAAAAGCACGTTTCTTTCGAAGTAAAAATGCACTCACCCCATAACACCCTTGAGGTATGGATAGTTTTCCGCCCTCCACGGACACTCTCCGTCGTTTATAAGTCTATTGTGTCTGGATGCGGGACGGTTATTGGTCCTATTTTCAACCTTCCGCCTTCTGTTGAGCGAACTCGTCGTTTTGTCCATTTTACCATTAACGATTGCGTTATTCTGATTGTTAAAACCGTTCGTGAATGTTTCTACGTCACTGTCACCCTCTTTTAAGTTCATACTCTCAAGTTCTTGTTGCGTTTGCCATATACGAAGCCACAAAAGTTTTGCTGGACCGTCCTGTTCTGGTTGCGACCAGGATATGGCAGGATCCATTCACACTAAATATACAACTTCACTATAATGCAACCATTTGTGCACTTTTATTAATTAACTTCGTAATTCTTTTAACACGCACACGTTAAAGTCACACCTTGTGCATATCACACGACTAAAAAAACTGACAGACACGCCATTTCACCGCCAGATAGCGCCATATATGACATAATACGAACGTTGTCATATCTATTTTTAAAACTGCGGAATTGCAATTAAACACTAATTTCCAAACTACAATATACGCAACAAAATTAAAAACAGCCCATGTATATTAAAAATAAACAAATTAATAAAGCAGAAATAATTAAAACAAAATATATTTTCTACAATTTGTAGACATGGCAACTCCAACTGATTTTTTTGACAGCAGAGACCTCATCTCTGTTTGACAAGTTGTTTATGTTGGTAAAATTGAAACTAACCTAGAAAGCCGCACCAACAAAAATATTTATTCATTTTGTGTATTTTAAGTGCTAAAGCAATTTGCTTTAAGCAAATAATAAAAATAATTTAATATGGAAGTGGATCCATTTAGACCGGCGACAGTTCCCATTTCCTCGGAAACTGTTATGTGGTTTGAATTCTTATTGAATAAAGATTTGCTCAAAAATCATTTAGAACAAGAATGCATTGGTAGTATAACCCCTATTAAATTAATGTTATGCAAACTTTCTACATAAAAAAATTTCAGATCCATCACCCACAGAACTAATTACAAAGTTCTACGATGTTATATCTGATATTCTAAGGACCAAGATTGAAAATGAAAACATTGAAATAATAAGAGTTGATCCACCTGAAGAAGTAAGGCCTAAACAGTCTGCAAAAAATATAGCACTTAAAATACTCTCCCTAAGGGTTATGGCATTCCTAAAATGGAATTTGGGTAGTTAAATTATTATTTAAATACTTTACACTTTATTTACATAACTTTTTTAGTACAATTACGTTCTCTCCCATTCAAAACGCAAATTAATTTGCTGCAAGATTTAATTTTTTTTACAAACGACAACATAACATTAGAAATTCCGAATATTACATATGATGAAAGTGTCCATTCCAACAAACCTTATTTATTTTCACTAGTAATATATCATAGATGGTTATTGTACACAACAATTCATAGAATAACACCTAATTGGCAATTAAGATTTGGGTAAGGAAGTATTAAAATTATTTTTATTATTTTTTCTGATCATTTTTTTTTAGATTAAATGAAATGTCCACCATTGAAGAAAACATATTCTGCTCACCGGAAAGCATTGAAAAAACCATAAGCTTCCTAAACAACTCACTAAAATGGACGGATACACTGGGCATGCTGACCTTCGATTGTTTCCAACTACCAACTGAAACAATTGATAAGGCTGAGTGTGATTGGTCAAAAACGTTGCCAATATCAAAAGAAGAATTCAGCGCGCAAGTCAACTACGATCTGGGTACTTTTTACTTTTATAGGGAGGAATATTTGGTTGCGAAAGAGAAGTTTGGAAGTTCTTTGGAGTTTTATAATGCTATAGAGAAGAAAAATGGGTTTATGGATTTTGACAAGGAAGTGTTGGATGTTTATGTTAGGGCTTGCAATTGTTTTACTGAAGGTGCTAAAGGGAATTTATTGGAACAGTTGAATTCTTCTATTGTTAATCAGTATATGGTAAGTTTTTTTAATCAGTATTACAATAACAGTTATTATTGTCAAATTAACTCCATAATAATTATTTAAATTTGAAAATCTCTGCTTTTGCAGTCTGTTATCTATGAGCACACCCTGACAAATTTTTTGACAATAATTTTTAGGTTTAGAGCAATGGTGCAAGATGTAAAATATTTTCTTCACAGGAATTTTATATGCAACCCATTAAACATTAAAATAATTTATTTAAATATTACCTACAGAGTATTTTATATTTTGTAAAAGAACTTTAATTTAAAAATATATGTTTAATTTTATAGTTATACATACTTGTTTGGCACGCCATTTAATCGTAAATTTTTTAATTGTAAAAGAAAATTAAAGTAGGTTTTTAAAATTATGGAATGTATATTTTTTTATAATTTTAATTATGTCTGACATAATAATAATAAAATAAATTATGTCAAGTGTAAATTTAATTCAAATTTAATGGAAACAGATAGGAAAAATAGCGAATTATTATTATGTCTAGGCATATTATTAATTATTTAAAATTATTTCTAGGCATAATAAAAATTATTTTTTATGATACATTTTAATTTAATACGCATTTTTTTGTATCATTCAAATATTTTACCCAAGGAATATTTTGAAACATTTTACATATTATTTTGTTAGTTGAATTAATATTTGCGTCATTTAAATTTGGTCCATTTTTATTTCATATGAGGTTCTTTTTTTTTTTACTTTGAAATTTATATTGGAACATAAAAAAACATTGTTGAACAATTTTTTTAAACAAGATTTTTAAACTATTTGTTTTTATTCTATTATTTTTTAGGTTGCAATTTTTTATTTCTAACAAGACAATCATTTTTATTTTACAAATAATTTTAGGTGTACACACTATTTTTATTCTAATAAAAAATGATACAATTTATTTTATGTGTTCACGTAAAATTAATGCAATGAATTTTTATGTTATAATTAAAATTATAGAATTAATTATATCTGTACACAATAAATTATATAATTAATTTTATATCTACACATTAATTTGGCGCTTTGGGAATGTGGCAGGAAGTGGCAACTGCAGTAGTTCAAATGTAATTTAACCATTGGCTAGATCACAATCCACAGTGAATTCTGAGCTAGATTATCTATACAATTATAGAAATTATTTCTATCTTTCTAGTTCTAGTTTTGTGATATAATTGTATGACGTTGATAAATTAATGTATGTCTAGACATACAATTAATTAGGTATATAATTTTATCTATACACAAAATTAATTCTAAAATTTTTATTATAAAGTCATAAACTTAATTACAAAATAAAAATTCTGGGCATTAATTTTATGTGTACACATAAAATTAATTGTATTAGAATTAACGACGTTTTACTTTTAATTTTAAAACAAATATTAACGTGTCACAAAAATATTGCACACAGAAAAGTAACATTAAATAAATAATTCAAAATCTTATATATTTTTTTCCTGAAATTTCGCACTCAAATATCTTCACGGTACCAAAAAAAGACACCTGTGAAAATCGGAGATCTTAATTTTTATATTTAGAGGTCGCGCATCGAGAATTTCTATTTTCCATTTAAATAACATGGGAATTTTTTGTTGTTTTTTTATAATTTTCTAGCTCACAAACTAATTAACAGATTTTTATGCGCGATAAACTCTCTACAAAAAATGTCTCCTATCATTTTTCGATAAACCAAGGATTTAAAAGTTATTCAAAGTTCAAGTTAAATTTATGTCATTATTGCATTTTTACTTCAATTTTAGGCATATTCATTAAGGTTATTATTAAAATCATTTAAAAAATCAAAATTACTATGTTAAATTAATTCCACTGAAACACCTGCTATTTCTGAGAAGAATTGAAGAAATCCTTTTTTTTTAATGAATTCTTTCCAGAAATAGGTGTTTCAGTGGAATTAATTTAAAAGGCTTATTGAACATAGTAATTTTGAATTTTTTAATAATTTTTTTATATTGGATGAACTTTAATGAATTTGCCCAAAATTGAAGTAAAAAATGCAATTATGACGTAAATTTAACTTTAACTCTGAATAACTTTTAAACTCCTTGGTTTATAGAAAAATGATATGAGAATTTTTTTTAGAGCGTTCAATTTCCTACAAAAATATATATCGCACATAAAAATTAGTTAGTTAGTTAGTTAGTTAATTAGTTTGTAAGATAGAAAATTAGAAAAAAACAAAAAAAATCCTATTTTATTTAAATGGGAAATAGAAATTCTCGATCCGCGACCCTTAAATATTAAAATTAAGAGCTCCGGTTTTCACAAATGTGTTTTTTTGATACCGTGAAAATATTTCAGTGCGAAATTTCAGAAAAAAAATGTCGATTTTTTTTTAACTAGCCTCATAAACATATTTAAAAAAAGAATAACTTGTTTGACATGTATAATTCTGATTAATGTATTATTTTGAAGGTATTATGTTCCAGTTCAATTTATTTTTTAAAGTATTAATATTTAATATTAATATTTCTTATCCGATCAAAAAGTGAAACGGCGTGCCATATACTTAAGTTTGTTAAATGAAAACACTAAAAACATGTATTTTAGTGAACATAATATGAGCATATTATGCTCAAAGTTTCCATTTTTAAAAATTGTGTAAACCCTTAATTATTATATTTTCTCAATTTTTAACATGAGACCCTGTATATATTATAAAAAAAATTATGGTAAATTTCATTAAACCCTACATAAATGTATGCATTATTTTAGGGCATAACTACAATTTTGCAGCAAGACAATGTTCAAAAAGAAATACCTCTGTCTCATAGATTGAATCTGGAGCTCGATATACAGGGTGCTGTTTCGAGTGGAACCTTTACTGTGGCTAGAGATTTATTGAGTAAAATTAAGGCTTCAAATATCGTAAGATGTGTTTTGGATCAAAAACCACTTTATCAGTGTGCAATTGTAAACGAAAAGGATGCCGATTCTTTTGTTAAAGTATGTTGAGTTGTATTTAGGGAGATAAAACATTAAGAAGTATTTTTAGGCGTGCTTGAGTACATGGAAGCAATTTTCTATGCATGATAAAGGTATTTTAAAAACGTTTTTGTTAGAATTGATTCTAAGGAAAGATATACCACATATATTGCCACTAATACACTCATGTGAAATTGGAAAAATGTTTGATAAATTAGACTTGCAATATATCAGTAAACATACGGAAGAACATTGTGATATTCCAGAATCATTGATGACCACTGGGTTTACCATGTTTGATTTTAGTAAAAGAAGTAAGTAGGTTCAATAAAAAAAACAATATTTTTTTATATATAATTTTAGAAAAGCCCAAAATCGAATTAAGACAGCTAGAACAAAAATTAATATCTACCTATGATCATAAAGAAGTGAGGGACTTATTGGTGAAAATTGCCATGACAAATTTGGGCACGTCAGTTTGGAAGATAAACCCCCAATGGGTGTTGCCCATACCTCTAACCAGTGTTATCAAATCTTTAATGAGAGGTATGCAAACTTTTTAAAACTATGTTACATTTTAAAACACTAGTGTATTAAGTTACTTAATGCACTAGTGCATTAAATTGGGAAAAAGTGAGGTTAAACACGTCTGACAGATGTCAGATTGGAAAAAAGTAAGGTTAAACACCTCTGACAGATGTCATAAAAATGTCAAATAAAATTGACTTTAAATTCTAAGAAAACATGCCTTTACGTTCGTCGTAGACAGAGTATGGTGTGCAAATCATTTTATTAAATTCTCAAGATTATTAAAAACTTGCGCTGCAAGCTCCGCTCGTGCATAATAATTTTTAAACTTGTGTATTAAATGACGTTTTAAAACATAGTTGCATAATAATACACTAATGTTACTTTATGCACTAATGCGTTAAATTGGAAAAAAGGAGGTTAAAACTGCTTAAAAGTTGGCAGATGTCGGATAAAACGTTAAAAATGCAATTTAAATTCTTAAAAACACATCACGTTTGTCGTATGCAAATCATTTTATAAATTTCTCTTATTAAAAACACGCTCCGCTCGTGCATAATTAAACTCGTGTATTAAATTACGTTTATCTACTCCCCCATTGATAAGCTGTGACTATGGCGTTTTACTCACGGGCTGAAGTTAGCTTTATAATTTGGAAAAAGTAAGGTTAAATCCTTTGACAGTTGACAGATATATTTAACAAATAAAATTGGCTTTAAATTCTTATTTGTGTTAGTCGTACTGCCGTGCTTAATGAAAACGCCGTAACCAACAATTTTGCGATTTTTGTTTTACGGCATTTTCTACTAGAACAATTCATCCTGCGTCTATCCCCGGTACTCAAAAAACTGTATCTATATATATACGGTTTTTTGAGTACCGGGGATAGACACAGGATGAATTGTTCTAGTAGAAAATGCCGTAAAACAAAAATCGCAAAATTGTTGGTTACGGCGTTTTCATTAAGCACGGCAGCGTAGATAAAGTATAGTACGCAACTCGTTTATGACGTTTATAAAACTTGATACCTAATATACTATGCGTTAAAGAAGTATCGGGTTTTCGCAACGCGCGCGCCATCTGGTGGACTTCAAAAGCATTGCGTGAATTTAAGAATAATTGTCAACAATACATTTAAAGCATACGAACTGTACATCATTCTTAAATAAATAGGTAGTTTTTTCACAAAAGAGAGGAGGGCAGAAGTTTTACTCGACAAATTGTGTTCAATTGCAAAGCTAAATCGCGCACGTTATTTGTGTTTTACGTTGCAAGGAAAAAACTAAAAAACTGGTTTAGTACTCGAAATCAACCATTTTTATATTTGAGTTCTCGAAAAAAAAGCCGACAACTGCATTTTAAACAACAAAATATACCAACGAATTCATGGAATTCATAATATTATATATAATACATAATGTAATGGTATTTTACCGTTGATTGGAGACTTTAAAGAATTCTTAATCAACGCTTTTAATAATGCTAAATGCTGTTTAAATTTATACGACTTATTTGTTTGATGATTTTTACTGAATTGAAATATTTACACTTTTCACGTTAATCAGTACTAAAATGTGTATTTATTGTATCTAATAGATACAATTCATATTTACAGGGAACTGTATGGAACTTATTTCTTCATTCGCATTAACACTGTTTATTGGAAAACCGATAAAAACTTTTTTCGATATTTTTTAACATTTTTCGGCTTTATTCTCAAAAACACTCGTTTGTAACACACGCGTTTGACAGCTGATTAATCAAAAGTTGTACTTTTGTTACGATGATAACAGCCGAGTGGTGGAGCTACTAGCGATACTTATTTAGAGTATTATAAAACTAGTTGCATAATATACTATTTTCTACTCCTATTGCACAATATTGACATTGACTGTGTATACTTCTATGGGCATTTTTAGAGAAAATCCTACTAAAATTATAATTTAGAATTGTAAAAAAGCAAGCGGTTCTCAAAATAATTGAAATTACCTAAAAATCTTTCAAAACCAAAAATCGTTATAACTTCGTTATTCCTGGGAATTTTGAAAATAAGTAATGGTGGATTTATGCAGCACAAATTAACATTAAGATTAACTTTAACATTAAGATTAAGATTAATTTAACATTAATAGGAGGGTATTTATGCAGCAAAATTAGTAGCTAATTAAGCATGCGTATAAGTTAAAGTAATTTTGACATCTGACATTTTTGGTTTGTTTGAATTTTGTTTTAATCCCGTTTTAGCATCTGTTAAGTAAAATAAATGAAAACTATAAACTCCACGTCAAACAATAAACCAAAGAACACAATCATTGAATAAAAAATCAATCATTCAGCAGTAAGTTTCATTTTATTTTCGGGTATGTTGGCATTACTGACACGGTTTATTTAAAAATTGCGCCGCAAACCTGCGCAGGAGGAATAAAAATTAACATTATCATTAAGAAGATAAAAGTTGGCCATCTCTTAATGTTAACTTAATGCTAAAGTTAATGTTAATGTGTTGCATAAAAGCTTCCAATGGATTACGTTCATTTAACTTCTTAATGTTAATGTTAATCTTAATCTTAATGTTAACTTAATGTTAATTTGTGCTGCATAAATCCAGCATAAGTTTTACATATAAACACACACATTATTCTACATTTTCATCCAATTTCTTTGCTAACATATTTTAAGTTATCATCACATCTATTGTTTTTACATGTAGTTTGATACATTGTTGAGTTCCTTAATTTTTTTTCTAATTAGGTTAAATTTTAATATGACAGCCATGTGTAAAATAAAAGATGGTGGCAGAAACACAAAATCTAGTAGGCAAGAAAAATCACAAATTGGATGAAAATGTAAATAAATGTTTATGTTTAATAACCATTTTTGGTTCCGACAGGTTTTTAATTTTTTTGAAAATTTCATATTTAAGAACCGCTGATTTTTTCTTCAATTTTGAAATGCCATTTTAATTACGCAACTTTAGACAAATTTAACCGACCTTGTAGCTCTTCAAATAAAAAAGATACCCATACTTTGTGCACCCTGTATAATGACAACCATTACAATGGAAATAATATCATTAAACTTTTATTTAGGATTTTTACAAGATTTTGCCTTTGTTCTTCTCGCGAAATCCAGGGAGCAAATGTTGAACAAATGTTGGAACTCCTCCTTGGAATTGTTGATAATCTTGGACAAGGAATTGCAAATACATGCTGGCAATGACGTTGTTGCCAAATTGTACAAACTCGTAAGCTGGGAGATTTTATTGGTGCAAATTACACAGAGCTTGGATGAGTGGCCCAAACAAACTATAGGTAAGCAATTATAATATTTATTCGGCTTATAGGTTGTGTTATAATTTAAAATAAAAATCTGTACCTTTAAACAATTAAATATAGACCGATAATTTTTGAAACCAAAAAAAATAACAGTAGGATGAAACCCATTGGAAAAGGAGAAGAATATAATAAAAATGAAAGGAAAAATAAATTACGGGTGATCTGACTTCGGGAAGTGGGAGGGGGGGGGTTTTAAGGGTAAAAAATGGTTTATCTCGATTTCCGGCAAAACTACAAGTCCTATGGAAAAAAGTTAAATGGCAAAGTTGTAGGTAATAAAAGGATCTACAACTTTTGTAATTACAATTTTTTTACATAACCTACATAACATAACCAAAATTTATGTGAAAAATTCAAAAAACCAAGTTTTTGGTTTTTTATTTTTGACTTTTTCAAAAAAAAAAAATTTCCCACGAAATTTGGTGAAAACTTACCTTTTTATGTCCCAAATACACTGTAATTTATTTGATTTGAAATATTTATTATTTCGCCTTATTTTGACTTAATATCAAAAAAGCACCCTAATTTTCAATCGAAAATTCTCGCGTCAAAATATCAGCTTTTTTCAAAAAGTCGGTGTGCTTTTTGTTTGTTGAAATCTCTACTTTCTGATGGTGTAAAAAAATATACATTACTATGGTAAATGTTCTCAGAAAATGCAAAAAATATTATAATGAATAATGAAAAAAACTCGAATTCGAAAATTTATTTTAATCATTATGTACAATTTCATCAAAAAAATGTGATTGTTGCAATTTTTTTTAGTTAAAAAGTTTATTTATTAAATTCTAATAACATTTATGTCAAAAAATCTCATAAAATCATACTATTGAATTTAGATAGGTACTTCATTCTGATTACGTTATTCATTATAATATTTTTTGTATTTTCTGAGAACATTTACCATAGTAATGTATATATTTTTTTTACACCATCAGAAAGTAGAGAGTACATCGAACAAAAAGCACACCGACTTTTTGAAAAAAGCTGATATTTTGACGCGAGAATTTTCGATTAAAAATTAGGGTGCTTTTTTGATATTAAGTCAAAATAAGGCGAAATAATAAATATTTCAAATCAAATAAATTACAGTGTATTTGGGACATAAAAAGGTAAGTTTTCACCAAATTTCGTGGAAAAAAATTTTTTTTTGAAAAAGATAAAAATAAAAAACCAAAAATTTGGTTTTTTGAATTTTTCACATAAATTTTGAGGTTATGTGAAAAAATTGTAAATACAAAAGTTGTATATCTTTTTATTACCTACAACTTTGACGTTTAACTTTTTTCCATAGGACTTTTAGTTTTGCCGGAAATCGAGATAAACCATTTTTTACCCTTAAAACCCCCCCCCCCCCCACCCACTTCCCGAACTCAGATCGCCCGTAATTTATTTTTCCTTTAATTTTTATTATATTCCCCTCCTTTTCCAATGGGTTTCATCCTACTGTTATTTTTTTTCTCTTTTTACCATTTTTAAAGGCTTCTGCACTGGTCTAATAAGTTATTGCAAAAGTATAGTTCGTCAACTATAAAATGCATAGGTGGAATCTGCAGGGGAATCCCCGAACTTTAAAAATAATAAAGGTTCTAGTATTATTTTATATTATTATATTGTAATACTAGTATTATTTTTCTATGAAATTAGTTTTGTTTGATCCTTTTTTGTATTCTAAATTAAAATTTCTAATATATTAAACAGTTTTAGTTTGACCAGCGCTTTATGTGGATGGTTTTTTAAAACTTAAAGCTAACAAGTGTACTATTTTTACTTGTTTTTATAGAATACAAAAATAAAAATTAGTAGGTATGAAAAGTTTGGGTTTAATAAAAAAAAATTAAAAAAACTGCAGGCTTTTTAAGTGGGGTTTACCCAATAAAAACCCTGCATAAAATCGTATAAAAGCAAATTTTATGATAAATATTTCAGACAGGAATGCTTTGGCGAACGCGTGTGAAGTTTGCCTCCAAAGTAACGAGTCGGTTTTACCAAGGGTGGAAATAAAAGAGCAATGTGTGATTTGCTTACTGAACATGGGTAGATGGGACTTTTTGATTAATTTCGATAAAAGATGGTCTACGTTTGAAATAACCGCGGCCATAGCGCTGGCTTGCCAGGAAGTTGTGAAACACAAAGGGGCTAAAGCTTTTTCGAAGAACCTTTGGGACCTATGTAAGAATTTTTTTTATAGTAATGTTTTAATTAATAATATTTTTTTAGTTCTTCCTATTTTTGCCAATCAACCTTCGCAATCCAAGAGGGGAAATTCGGGTGCTAACTTTCAAGAACCGCAAATTACAAACATGAAACTCAATATGATGTCCATAATTACAAAACTTAAGGACTCTATGGGGTTGACTGTAATAATATCAGTTTTGGCCAAAATTTATAATGTCCTTAAAGATGAACCCACTTTGGAATTGCAAGTGGAATATGCTAATCAATGGCCTGATGTTATATCAAAGTAAGGATTTTAAGTTTAATAAACTATTTTTTTACCTTGATCAAATTTTTATTTTCAGTGCAAAATCGTATAATACAGTAGCAGTGTGCGATTTATTATCAGAAATTGTTTTACAATCTTTAGAGGATTATCCTTCCAATGTTTCTTGGTTGAGGCTAATGGGAGATATTAATTTTGGTAAGTTAATTTACAACATTAAAACTACTATATTTTTTTAATTATAGCACATGGCTTATTTCTGAATATATTTTTAGAAAAAAGTTTTCATGATTTTTTTCTTTTAAAAATAAAAAATTATTTTGTATGTAATTTATACACAGTTCATGATGTTAAAATTAAATTGCGCCCATAATTTTTATAACTGATAATAATATTTTTGTTCTTCATATTTTCGTCATTAAATATACAGGGGTTATAATAAATAAAATGTATAATATGTTTTGATGTTTTGATAAAAGTCTAACACCTAATAAGATTTTGTCAACCATGTCCAATTTAGCTGCCTTATTGAAATTATTTCCATAAGAATCATTATTGGGTGTAAAATATTTCAGCCTATAAATCACAGAGTAGTCAGTTGTCAAAAAAAATGTATTTTTTATACTAAAATAAAATTCATTATTTAAACTTTTTCAATAAAAATTATTTTCTTTATTAAATTTCTATTAGTTTTTTGATTTTTTTACAAGGAGGGAGGGGGTCAAAAATCCTTAAAATCGTGACGTCCTTTGGGATATCATGGAAACTTTTTTCCAATATATGGTAAAAAACCCAATTTAATAATAATAAATAATAATAAGATATAAAATATTTACGCTCTTTTGATACACTAATAGTAAATTACTATTAATGTAGGTATATCAAAAGAGCGTAAATATTTTATATCTGGCAACAAGAATATAAAAAGAAACTTTTTTGCACATATGAGGAATTTTTATGACGAGTCGTAGGCAAGTTATAACACCTCACAGTGCAAATATATTTATATTTTTATAATTGGCTTTAAATTGCTATATTTTTTCTAAAAACAGGGGACGCACTTTTTTTATTATTATACAGAGTGACTCTAAAACTTCCTACTAGAAATTTAAAGGTATAAGACATCATTCTAAACTCAAGTCAATGAGCAGTTTTGACATTTTGTTAAAGTTTTGTCATTTCCCTAAAGTTCATTTTTTTTAAATCTGGACTGCGGCAACGTTGCATATTTAGGGTTTTGGTTGGTAAATACAGTTTGTCAAGTTGGTCGCATTGATTAAAACAAACTAAGCTAGTTATAAATCTAATTGTGGTTATGTATAAATTATTGCAGGTTACATTGTGCAGTTGTCAAGTTGAGTTGTCGAAATTCGTAGTTAAAAAATGCTATTAATTTGGCTTTGATGGTGCTTGGATGAGTAAAATCATATAAAAAGTAGTTAAATATAGGTTGCTTTACGGCCCAGCAGAGAAAGTATTCCTAGCGGATAATAATCTTCGCTTTGAAAAGTATTTATATAAAAGAAATTAAATTTTTTTGTGAACGTAAATGTTGTCCAATGGTGAATAATGTGAAAATAATGTGTGATGTAATATTTATAAAATTTATAAAACCAAATATTTGACAACAAGCTAGATGGCTCCGATGATAGGGCGGGCGCTTGGCATGCGAGAGGTCCCGGGTTCGATTCTAAGAACTTTTTTTATTTTTTTATTTCATAAATTTGTTGTTTCTTTGTTAAACAGTGTTCGGTTGGGTTGGGTTGGTTAATTTGTTTTAGTTTTATCGTAACATAAAATCTACCAGAAGTTGTCGAACTTTTTTTATTTCATAAATTTGTTGTTCCTTTGTTAAAGTGTTTTATTTTTATCGTAACATAAATTTGCCCATTTTAGTTGGGTTTTTTGCTCAATGGGGCGGGGGGGGCCAATGGGGAGGGGTCGGTTGGGTTGTGTTGTTGAGTTTGGGTTGGTTTGGCTGCAGTAAAAGAGTCTCGATTTTATTATTAGTAAATTTTATTACATTTGCATAATCAAATCAAATGACATAATCAAATAATAATCAAATCAAATGACACGACACCTAAAAAGTAAAATTAAATAAAATAATGCGTGAGAATAAAATTAAAATTATTTTGACTTTAGCGTGAGAATAAAAATTAAATTGCGTTCACGCTAGCGTGAGACTAGACACAGCGTTTTATTTATAATTGACAATTACATTATCAATAATAAATATTATTGTCAATTTGACAGTGTCAAAGTTATTAATTAAATTCTTTAGCAGAAGTACCATTTTTAAATACTAAAAATACTAAGTTAAACTGGCATAAGCCACCAACCTCACAAAAAAACACCAGTCCAGATAAAAAAAAAGAACTATATATGAAATTGAAATTTGAAAAAAAAACAATTTTTGACGAATTTCTAATAAAAATTATTGAAAAATGTGATATTTTTATATAGGAAAATGATTTTAATGATTTTTATCAAAAATTGAGATACGATGTTCTTATTTGAGAACGTCGTATTTTTGTAGTTTAGTTATTCCACACCTAAATATGCTTAAATAGTAGGTACCTATAGTAAGTGAATACTCGTGTCGAAAATTTAAAATAAAAATTGAAATTGTAAAGTGTGCTACCAAAGCCGTTTTGTTTGAGTGTGACGTCATGCGAGTATTCTTGAATATTTGTCTGTTTCCGGAAATACATTTTTTCTACTTTCACCTTCTAAAACGCCTATTATCGCACATGTTTCCATGATACTAAGTGACCTTCCCACAACACAAAAATATATTTAAAATATTGAATAAATATTTTTACTAAATGAACTAAATATTTTAGATATATTAGCCAATATTTAAATGGCTCTAAAATGTTTTTAAAACATTTAGATGTGCCACTTTTTATATTTATACAATATTTTTTCACAACAGTTTTAACACATTTTTGTGAATGTTTTAGATACATACATTACCTTATATTTTATTTATGTCTCTCAACATCACAAAAATTTCTGTAAATATTTTCAAAATGTTGTAAATGTTGAAGAAATATTGCTTTTATATTTATAAAAGCCGTGTAACACCCGATACTTTTTGTTTACTTGAGTGCAAAAAGTAGATGTGGTATGGTATATGTCTGATATGATTGAGTAATATATGAGTATATCATATACAAAAACAGTGGAATAACATAGAGATCTATTTTTTTACACTAAATAGTTATTTATGTCATTAGGTTAAGAAGTAAGGCTTTTTGTGCTAAGCTACAATTGAGCGAAGCACAAAAAGGCACTTCTTGGCCGAATGGCTTACAACATTTTATCTTTAAAGTACTTTATATACATAGGTCAATTAAATTCAACATCAAAGCGGCCTAACCCCACTTTTTAGAATCTCATTTATTTATTAGCTAAATATAACATTAAATGTATTAATTATTATTGCTTTTAAAGCAGTAATAGTTTGACAATACTTAGCAACATGATTTAAGTAGAAATGGATTTTTGGTATTACATTGAATTCAATTAATTGTTTAATAAATAGGTAGGTATCTAATTTCAATTTGTTTGGATTTTTATTTAAAAAATAGGTAGTTTGGAATGTTTAAGCTGTGTTTAACATTTAATTTCACTGAAAACTTATAGCAAATTAAAACGATAATTTAAATCGTAGAAAAAGAATCGTGCGTTTTCTTGGTTGCCTAACCTCACTTTTTGTTTTATTATTCATATTTAATTTTACAATAATTTAATGAAAAATATTAAACATTAACAGTTAAACAAACAAATTAGTGCTTATTATAAATAAATTAAACCAGTTTAGTACGTTAATTTCTTAGAAAAGGATTTCTTTCTCAAAACAATACCCCTAGCGAGAAAAAATCGAACTAATTACTTGCCTCATAAAATTTTTTATCGGCCTAGGCCATAACAAGGTATTTCTTTATCGAATGTTGACAACAATAAAGTTTAAATTATAGACCGCGTGGAGATAAAAAAAAATTAGTACAAGTCTTAATAAAAAAATATTAAAAAAAAAGTTTATTTTAGAAATAATCGATATAAATGAAAGTAAAATATGTAAAACAAAAATTATTTGGATAAAATCACAGAAATAAAAGAAAATTTTTCTTTCTACAGTCTTGGTTTTTCTTTTTTAATTTCTTTTTGACTACTTTTTTCTAAATTTAGCTTGAGCCAGCCCAGCCATTGTCGTAACTCCGGTAAAATGTCATTTTCGGTCGCAGTTTCGGTTTTCGAATTTTTCCGGATGGAGGCTAAAAAGAACTTTCCTAATTTAAATTAAAGTATTTGATTCAATCCTGCTCAGGAAAATTTCTTTTCTTGTTTTTCAAATTTAAAAAACGATAATATTTTTGGGATTCTAAGCGATTGTATTAGGTTTATGTTTGTTTTGAGATTTTAACGCCGCGGCGGCGCGCCGGTAGATTCCCAAGTTATAAATTTTAACGGGAATTCCAATAAATACAACTGTCACTTTTTGTACCTTTCCCGTGTAAGAATTTTTAATACTTTGTGATAATATTTTGCAATTATAGTAATATAAAAATCAAAGGATAAAATATTTTCTTAACATAATCATATTTTGAAGTTATTTTAATATTTTAAAGCATCAATAATTGTTGTTTAATTAAAATAATAACGGGCAATGTTAATGGTGAAAATTATGTCAAAAATGTTTATTGAGATGGTTACTTTATTTTCGTATAGATGTCGCTTTATACAAATATTTAATTTAAATCATTTTTTAGATAATATTAAGTATTTGTCGTAGAAAAACTATAGTATGCAACTCGTTTATAAACTTTTTTCTATTCCCACCTTTAAAACGCCCTTTATCGTACATGTTTCCATGACACTAAGTGACCTTTTAAATTCACATTGACAAGTTGTGGCTTTATGGAGCTTTAGTCACGGGCTAAAGTTAGCAACAAGTTTTTAGTCACGGGCTGAAGTTAGTTTCAAGTTAGTTGACAGTTGTCAAATGTCATACAATCGTTAATAGTATATTATGTATCAAGTTTTATAAACGCCATTTTAGTGTCGAGTTTTATTAAGCACGAGCGAAGCTTGCGAGCGAGTGTTTAATAAAAACGAGTGTATAGAGAAGTTTATAAAACGTGTTGCATACTATACTTTATCTCCGACGAACAGAAATAACAATTTTATGCCAACTTTAATTCATACAAATTTGACATTTGAAGAATTTAACCTCACTTTTTCGCAATTTGAAATTAAGCTAACTTCAGCCCGTGACTAAAATGCCCAAAAGCCACTGTTGCTAACTTCAGCCCGTGACTAAAACGCCATTAAGTCACAGCTTGTCAATGTGGGAGTGGATAAAATAAATTGCCTTTCTTGTAAAATAATACTAAATGTGAAAATTATTTTATTATCTCAATACAAAAGTATTAAATAGTTTCTCAATGCCAATATTTGAAAAGTTTATATGAACATTGTACTGACCTTTTAATTTCGTCGGCAGTAAACTATAACTTAAATTCGGACACGGACTCCACTGTAAAGTGCTCATAAAACATTTTCTTTACTTTCACTGTGAAAAACTGTCAATTTTCAAGATACATTTCGATTTATAACCTTTATAATTGTGTTTATAAAATGTAAAAATGTGACATTTGACAGTTCCCCTGTTGTTTCATAGATGGCGCTCTATAAAATGTTTTGATTTTAAATCATTTTAAGATAATAATAAGTATTTGTCGTAGAAAAAGTATAGTATGCACCTCGTTTATAAACTTTTCTATACACTCATTAAAAATTAAATTCGTGTATAAAATGGCGTTTATCAAACTATTTTATATACTATAATACTATTTTATACTTTCACCTTTAAAACGCCGCCTATTATCGTACATGTTTCCATGATACTAAGGGACCACATAACAAAAAATATATTTAAAATATTGAATACATATTTTTGCTATATGAACTAAATATTTTAGAAATAGTCATTATCATTTAAATGCCTCTAAAATGTTTTTACCTCGGTTTTACAACATTTAGATGTCCCACTTTTTATATTTATACAATATTATTTCACATTTTTAAAACATTTTTGTAAATGTTTTAGATACATTACCTTATATTTTATTAATGTTTCCTCAACATCACAAAAATATCTGGAAATATTTTTAAAATATGTATTTACAGTTTATTGCATATTTATTTTAAAAATGTTGTTGTAAATGTTGAAAAAATGTTGCTTTTATATTAATATATATAAATTTATAAAAGCCGTGATTTTTTTTGTTTTTGAGTGCAAAAAGTAGATGTGGAGTGGTATAAGTCTGATATCATTAAGTAGCTCGAGCTCTATTTTTTGTACACTAAAAACACAAAAAAAATTGTACACGTCCGTTTTTGTTTATTTTTGAAATAATCGATATAAATGAAAGTAAAATATGTAAAAACAATAATATTTTTGGGATTCTAAGCGATTGTATTAGGTTTTTGAGATTTTAACGCCGGTAGATTCCCAAGTTAGAAATTCTAACGGGAATTCCAATAAATACAACTGTCACTTTTTGTGCCTTTAACATTTCCCGTGTAAGAATTTTTAATACTTTGTGGTAATATTTTGCAATTATAGTAATAAAAAAATCAAAGGATAAATTATTTTCTTAACTCAATCATATTTTGAAGGTATTTTAATATTTTAAAGTATCAATAACTGTTAAGTTTAATTAAAATAATAATTAATGGTGAAATTACGTCAAAAATGTTTATTGGAATGGTTGCTTGAATTAATATTTAATTTAAATCATTTTTTAGATAATATTAAGTATTTGTCGTAGAAAAACTATAGTATGCAACTCGTTTATAAACTTTTCTATGCACTTATTTAATTAAGCTTAAATTAAATTTGTGAAAATGGCGTTTAACGAACTTGATACATAATATACTATTACCTATTCAATAAAATAAGAGTTAGTCCAACCGTTGTTTAAGGCCATATTTAAAAAATGTGTAAAGCACCATTTATTTCCAGCTAACACTCACTACAAGGTATCCCTCAGCTACTACCTGAAATCCCTCTTGATTTGCAACGACTACTTCAACATTCCCGTGCGCAACGACGACCACGTCTTCCGCAGAATGATAAAATGCTGCACCTCGTTGGGCTGCCACACGCAGGCGGCCGTGCTGTGCCAGTTTTTCGAAAAACCCGACTACCTTCTGGCCTTTCGGATACTCGGCGACCAGAAATCGTGCAACGACGCCATCGACGCCTACTATCACTGCTTTTGGGACACCAACATCCTGGAGTACTTGATCCACGTTCACAACAAAAAGGGGGAGTTCCAGAGGAGAAAGTGCGCGGTACAAGAGATCGGGTTGTTGGAGTTGAACTCCAATAACAACGAGGAGATTCAGAGGGAAGCCAGTAATTTGAGAAAGAGTATCTTTTTGAGGGCTTTGTGTAAACAGTATGTTTTTTAAGTCAATTAAAAATTATTTAAGATTTGTTTCTTTATTTCTTTAATGGAAGCACAAAAAATAAAAACCGTTCGAACGCGCGCAAGAACTTCTTTGGTGTAACTAAAAATATATATTCTGCAAATAAAACTAGTTTACAAAATCGAAAAAAAATTCCATGTATTTGACCCACTAAACACGAAAATCACACTCAATTTTTTTTATGGAAGCGTTTTTAAAATATGAATTTTCAATTATTTTTTTTTCAATTTTCGGAGGTGTTTTGACGTTTTTGAGTATAGCTCTCAAAAAAATTCTTGTAAATTTACAACTCATTTACTAGTTTAAACATATACACTTTACAAATATTATAATGTGAAAAATAAATTACAAGTTAATTTATGAAAATATACACAGTTTTTTGTAAAATTTATAATTTTTGTGAATTTACAATGGAATATTAAGTTTTGTTATGTAAAAATACATTTCATTTTGTTATATTTACATTATTATTGTTTTAAATACATATCAATTTGTAATATTTGCATATTTTTTGTAATTTTTCTATTCGCATGTAACATTACAAGTTTTATTGTAAATTCCAACCAATTACCGCGCGCCAAATCGTGATGCAGGGTTGCATCCGCTTCCAAAATGTCTTTGATGTCAACCATTGTGTTTAGTAGATGAACTTGTTTTTATGTGCACAGTTAGAATTTAGTTTTCTACAAGGTCTTTTACTATTGGTAAGAACTTTAAACTTAGACACTATATTAACAACCACAAATAATCAAATTGAAAATTAATTTTGGTTACCTATGAATTGAAATATAATTTCCAATTTTATAATTTTTGGTTGTTAAAATGATGTCTTCTCTTTAATGTTATAATATGTTGTAAATTAAAATTACATTGTAATTTTACTGAAGAAGGAATTTTACATTTTTAGGTATTAGTAAATTTACATTGAAGTCAGTAATTTTACATTATAATTTTATTTTAACTAGGAATTTTACATTGTAAATTTAAGTATGTACATGAAATCTAGTAATTTTACAATATGATTTTATTTGAACTAGGAATTTTACTTTGTAAATTTAATTATATGGGTGTAAAATTACAATGTAATTTTAATACTGTTTTGTAAAATTACTTTGTTGTTGCAAATTTTCTGGATTATCGATGGTCACCAGTCGCCATCAATAATCGTGGTAAATTTACACAATTTTTTGACGCTAGCGATTTTAATAACTTAAAAAGTTCGTTTTTATGGCAAAAATTGAGGTCGAAAATTTACATATCGTCCTGGGAAGGGTTTAAATCAAACAGATAACTCCAGTTTGATTTTTTTGTGAAGCTAACATTTTTACAAAAAAAAAACAAGCTAACGTTGATAAAAATACATGGAAAAATGGCGAAGTTATGAATTTTTTAGTGGAAGGCCAAAATTTAACTTTTTGACGATTTTTATTTTATTTTTTTCTTTTATTTTGTAATATGTATATTTTTTAATGAAAACCTAAGTAAAGTGCATGATTGGAATTTTTTGAGTTTTTTTCGTACTTTTTTCACCGAAAACATTATTCAAAATTTAAATTTGACATGACTCCAAACGTGAATTCTTTTGTTTCTCGTGTTGGCATAGTGACATTTTAATGCTATTTTTTGATATCTCAACAAGGTATTTTTTATCATGGTTTTATTTAGTTAATAAAAAGTGTAAAATGAGTTAAAGAAATAGAGAGTTCGAGTGCGTAAATAACCCGGACAATCTGGGTGACGTAAGTGATGAGCACGGAGAACGTTTTCACCAGCAAATTAAGTCTATGGAGCGGCGGTATCACGGCTTCTGGGATGCAGCCATGATGGGTGATTACATTTGGTCCCTTATACAAGAAACGGAATACGAAAGCAACAAAAAACAAAGGAGCCAGAATTTTTTTAAACCTATGCTTATTAAAACAAAATAAAACTTTCAATATCTTCATGAGTTTTTTGAGAATTTTTACGTTTTTTCTTCATTTTATTGAATTATATAAAATTTAATATTAAACATTGATTTTTATTTTAAACATTAAATATTGAAATTAAATTATATATTGGATATGGGTCAGAATTTCTCAAACGGGCCACCTGAATTAGGTCAAAACTAGTTTTTGTTTGTAGATACATTTTTTTGATAGTATTTTACATCACTAACACAAATCCTAAAGTATTTTGTAAAAAAAAATTTTCAATTGACATATTCATGATATTAAAAGTCAAAGTTTTTAATAATTAAAAAATAAAAAAATTCATTATGGCTGAACTAATTATCCGATTCCAACGATATAACTAGCGTTGGAATCTTGTTTTGACATAGATTCTCTGTTATTTTTTTCAAATGTCCTATTTTCATTTAGGTCGATTTTTTTTTGTTTTTTTTATACCAAATTCGGAAATAATTGCGCCAGCTATCGACTCGAGAAAAAAAACACATATACTCCAATCATTTCTCGAAATTATGCTGCTGAGAAAAAAAATGGCCCGCAGGTTGACAAAAAGTTATTCGTCCTTTTGTGGCCGCGCGCGGTGTCAGCTCACGCTCCGAACCGTGTACGCTGTACGCGCTTGTGACGCGACGTCTTACGGTGGTCTGGAACCTGCGGGCCATTTTTTTTCTCAGCAGCATAATTTCGAAAAATGATTGGAGTATATGTGTTTTTTTTTTCGAGTCGATAGCTGGCGCAGAAGCCAATTATTTCCGAATTTGTTATAAAAAAAACAAAAAAAAATCGACCTAAATGAAAATTGTACAATTGAAAAAAATAACAAAGAATCTATGTCAAAACAAGATTCCAACGCTAGTTAAATCGTTGGAATCGGATAATTAGTTTAGCCATAATGATTTTTTTTTATTTTTTAATTACTAAAAACTTTTACTTTTAATATCATGAATATGTCAATTGAAAATTTTTTTTTTACAAAATCCTTTAGGATTTGTGTTAGTGATGTAAAATACTATCGAAAAAATGTATCTACAATCAAAAACTAATTTTGACCTAATTCAGGTGGCCCGTTTGAGAAATTCTGACCCATATTGAACATTGCAATTTTGAAAATAAATAAAATCATGAGCTTTGTTACAAATTGCTCAAAGTGGCAACGTTGCAAACCTCCTTCCGTCAATAAGTTGGGTTATAAATCCTAACCTCACAATTATTTTAGGTTATGTTTACAGAAAATAATCTTCAAATCCCAATTAATTTACTTTGTTTTAAATAAAAAATACAATGGAATACTTCACTGAGGTAAAAGTGTGTAAATATTGTGAAAACGAATTAATCCTGTGCAGAGATGAAGGGCTGGAGTGTTCGGTGTGTAATAAAAGTATTCATCAAAAATGTTTGAAAAGAGGTTCAGTGCCTGGAGGGCTTTGCGGCGATTTATTTTTTACGTTGATTTGTCAGGAATGTTCTTCGAACAATTCGGAGACGTTTTGCAGAAATAAAATGTCCTGGTATGTTTTTAATTTTGATTTATGTATGTAAGTGTGAAAAATTGTTTTTAGGCTACAAGTTATACATTTAGTTTTATATCACTTACAAAATAAAAGTCCTGGGTTGGCAAGAAAAGGGTTTTTTCATTGGAGAAATCATGTGGCTACTTTTGTTCACAAAAATTGGGAAACTTTGTTGGGAAATGATGTGTAAGATGTCTTTTATGTGATAAAAAATCATTGTTAGGATCTACTTTGCAGGAAAAAGCGAAAAAAATGGATGGGGACTGTAGCAGGAACTTTATCTCATTTTGGTAATATTGGTATATTTTTGTCTGGCACTGCAGTTTTTAATGAAGCTGCTTGGTGGACCTTGGCTTATCCTAAACTTACACCGATTGTTACATCAAATTTATGTAAGTTTTAAGTTTTAGGTAAATTAGTAAGGTACCAATTTAAAACTTTTTGCTAAAAATTGTAAAAAATTTATATTATCTAGTTTTTAAAATAAGTTAAAAATATTGTTTAAGTAGTTTCATTGTACATGATTTTTATTTGTTTTCTTGGGAAGTAATAGGTTTGAAGTATATATTTTAAAACAATTTGTACATTTGACAACCATGTTGTACTTTGACAAACATTTTTGTAGTAATAACTGTCAACAACTCATTAAGATTATTTTTGAGTTTTTTATACCTAAAGCTAATAAATAACTCAAAAAATATTTGGAAAATAATGCTAGAAAAGTTTTTTAAGAAAACGAGATTTTCTAGTGAAAAAATTAGAAGCATGAATGAATGATATTTGGTAAGATTATTTCCTGCCTAATTTTTTTTTTGTTTTTTTCATTTTGAAATGGTTTGACATACCAAAATACAGGGTGTCCCAAATTCCAAGACCAATTTTCGTTTACCATTTTTTTGCAAAACAGTTATTTAAAATAAATATAAAATATATACAGTTCATTTTTTTTTATCTGGACTTGTGTTTTTTTGTTAGGTTGGTGGCTTATGCCAGTTTGACTTAGTATTTTTAGTATTTAAAAATGGTACTTCTGCTAAAGAATTTAATTAAATACTTTTACAATGTCAAATTGACAATATTTATTATTGATTATTTCCCTCATTATAATATGAACCAATCAAAAGCCTTGAATTTTCGAATAAATTTCGTTTAAATAAGCGATTAAATCACTAGACCTATTTAACAGCGATTAAATTTTAGCCTTCATATTGGATTTTTGTTTACGATTTTATGGTGGTATTTACAAATTTTAACAAACATTTTTTAAAAAACAATAAAAAATAAGTTATCTAGTTTACGAAATATCAATTATTACTTATTACATACCTTAAATTAATGGAATTTTCTTTAAAAAAATATTTATAAATTTTGACACATACGTCAGATTTTATGAATTGTTAAATAGTTTCCTTTAATTTGAGAAATAATCTAGACGTATATCAATCAACCTATAAATTTAATCTGTCAAACTATGCTCAGTAAGTTTTTTATTTGATTTTTCTTTTTGGAAAATAGCTCGGAAAATAGTTTCATACAAAATAATTAAAAATAAAACCCCTCGACCGCTACGCGGTCTCGTGATTTTATTAAATTATTTTGCATTCAACATTTTCCAACAAAAACCAAACAAAAAACTACTAAGCCTAGTTTAACCGATTAAATTCATAGTTCTCGTGATATAATATATGATTATTTCCCTCATTATAATATGAACCAATCAAAAGCCTTGAATTTTCGAATAAATTTCGTTTAAATAAGCGATTAAATCACTAGAACTATTTAACAGCGATTAAATTTTAGCCTCCATATTGGATTTTTGTTTACGATTTTATGGTGTTATTTACAAGTTTTAACAAACATTTTATAAAAAAACAATAAAAAATAAGTTATCTAGTTTACGAAATATCAATTATTACTTATTGTATTACTTAAATTAATGGAATTTTCTTTAAAAAAATATTATTAATATTATATAAAATATTATATTAAATATTATATTATTTTGACACATACGTCAGATTTTATGAATTGTCAAATAGTTTCCTTTAATTCGAGAAATAATCTAGACGTATATTACTCAACCTATAAATTTAATCTGTCAAACTATGCTCAGTAAGTTTTTTATTTGATTTTTCTTTTTGGAAAATAGTTTCATGAAAAATAATTAAAAATAAAACCCCTCGACCGCTACGCGGTCTCGTGATTTTATTAAATTATTTTGCATTCAACATTTTCCAAGAAAAACCAAACAAAAAACTACTGAGCCTAGTTTAACCGATTAAATTCATAGTTCTCGTGATATACCTAATATATGATAATTTACTTGTAAATTATAAATAAAAAGATAATTATGCCAAAAATAATAGCAACGAATTCGAATGTAAAAACTTTATTTTGATGAAATTATGCCAAATGCCACAATGGAAGAAAAAGTACATCGCCTTATGGACATTTTTGGAGTAAAAAAGTAACGAATTTGGTTTTATAAATATTACATCACACAATATTTTCACATTATTCACCATTGGACAACATTTACGTTCACAAAAAATTTTAATTTCTTTTATATAAATTCTTTTCAAAGCGAAGAATATTATCCGCTAGGAATACTTTCTCTTCTGGTTCATTTTTAACTACGAATTTCGACAACCCAACTTGACAACTGCACAATGTAACCTAATAATAAATAATTTATACATAACCACAATTAGATTTATAACTAGCTTAGTTTGTTTTAATCAATGCGACCAACTTGACAACTGTATTTACCAACCAAAAACCCTAAAGGCCGTATTACAGCCGGCAATTCTTTCGGCAACTGCAATGAAAATTGCCGTAGGCATGCGCGGTTGAGACATTTCGACGAATCTCTTGCAATTGCCTAAAATCGGTCCGGATGGATTTTTATTGCCGTTTTACGGCAATTCTGGGGTGAAATCTGGTAACTTTTATGTTACCAACCCTACTATAAATTTCCTAGAGAGACGCTATTTGACTTAAACAGTTTAAGGTTATTTGTTTTATGATTGGCATTGTTTTCAAAGTTCTAGTATCCATTTCACTCATTAATTTTTAAATATCTCTACTAAACAACAAATAAACTTAGTGTTTACAAAATTGTATATTTTTCTTCGGTTGGTAGCACGGTAATAAACAGCAAGTTGTCTTGCCAATGCTGACTGTAAAAGAGTGTTGCCAACCCTACCGAATTTTCGGTAGATCTACCGATTCCTGAAAAATTCTACCGATCTACCGATAGACATCAACCTTCACCGAAAATCTAAATCTTGCAATAATCCAAAAAAACAATAACTTTTTTTTAGATTAAATTGCATACAAATAATTTAATTGGGAGAAAGTGAGGTTGGATCGGTTTTTAGATAATAAACACAGAGATGGCGCCACCAGTGTTTATTTCGTCATCCGATGATTGGTAAAGTACAGAAAATTCAACTTTCTTCAAAATTTAACGGCGTTCTCTTAAATTATGTATATTATTAATTTTTTTATGTTTGTACTTTTTACAATTTTGTTATTTTTTCTTACATTTCTCTTAATAAATATTTAATTTTGTTAACATTATTATGTTATTATTTTTAATAAATTTTTTATTTTTAATAAATATTTTTCTATTACCTGTGTTTTTTTACTAAAAATTACACATATATTTAAATCTACCGAAATTTTATCATCATCTACCGAAAATTTGCAAGGAATCTACTGATAAAATGTTGAAAGAGGTTGGCAACACTGCTGTAAAACAACATGCAATACGGCCTTGAAAACTTTATGGCAAGAATAATTTCTGCAAGAAAAATTGCTGCAAGAGGAATTGCCGGCTGTAATACGTTAACCTTTATTTCCAACCTTTATTTCCAAATATGGGACCGAGGATGGCGCAGTGGGTTAAAGTTACAGAGCGGTAATCAATCTGCGCCCCGGTACCGGGTTCGGTTCCCGGTTACAGCCTTGGGTGTTGTGTTTTTAAGAGCACAAAAATATATAATAATGAGCTGGCTAAATAGTCGAAAAGACTAAAAGCCAATAAACCTTAAAAAAAAATCTTAATATTGTGGTTAGCACATTTTTGTGTGACACGAAAATATCACCAACATACACTAAGCTCTTCAATTGTTTCCATAGCAACCTTTGTGGAGAGTTTCAGCTCATATAAAACAAGCTTTTAAAACTTTTAAAACCGAGTTTTTTTTAGATAACTTGTATACAATGGAAAAAGCGAAAGCAAAACTAAATAACGAGAACAAATTCAACAGTGACAGCGAATTTTTTTCGATAATTCTAAAAAAATATATTCACAATGAAGAACTCATTCAGCCTTTTAATACAGGGGCCATTCAAGCCATAGAAGAGCCTATAAATGTGACAAGTACAAACAATACAAAAAACAGCAAGAAAAGAAATATAAATCCATCTATAGAAACTCAAACAAAAAAGTATGAAGTGAGTTATTTGTATGAGTGAAAATCTTAGTATGTTTAATTTTCAGACTATTCAAATTATCACATTCTGTCATGTTGTCGGACGACTTGACAAGTCAATTTAATGTAGCAGAAAGTAATACACCAAGTGAGATAGTACCACAAATCCCAAATAAAACAATTGAAAAACCTGAGAAAAAGGAGGGATTAAAACTGTTGGACCCATTTTGTCACTACAACACATCACTTAGCAGTAAAAACAATTTTTAATACATAAAAAATTAATATGGTAAAAATGTTTTGTTTTAGATCTATCAAAGTTATCATTTGAACAAATTCAGCTCAAGTTAACAGGAGGTATGAGAAAAGAGCCGATATTATCACCATACAGTGGTATTTATTTGAAGCCCTACATTCGCAGGGACACAACCACATTTCCAGTATGGTTGAAATTGATGGCCGAGTTGCAATTAACAGTTAATAGAAGAAATAACCAGTATGAATTACCTCCAAGAGAGCCTATAGACTATACTTATGTTCAACCTGAACATATACCTGCCATAAATAGCTTGTGCAATCAGTTTTTTTGGCCGGGAATTGATTGTAAGTAATAAATAAATGTATAAGCCTGAAAAAACTTAAAACATACAGTACATTTTTTTTTATTTGGACTTGTGTTTTTTTTATTAGGTTGGTAGATTATGCCAGTTTGATTTAGTATTTTTAGTATTTAAAAAATGGTACTTCCCTGGTGGAAATGATTCTACAACATTCTACAACATTTAACGCGAAAACTACAACTTTCTACAATTTTTTACAACTTTTTGTATGGTTGTAGAGAGTTGTAAAGACTTGTTATTTATTACAAATTTTTACAACATTTTACAACAATAATTCTACAACATTCTACAACATTTAACGTGAAAACTACAATTTTCTACAATTTTTTACAACTTTTCGTTGTTGTAAAGAGTTGTAATTTATAACAAATTTCTACAACATTCAACGAAAATTATTCTACAACGTTCTACAACATTTAACGTGAAAACTACAATTTTCTACAATTTTTTACAACTTTTCGTTGTTGTAAAGAGTTGTAATTTATAACAAATTTCTACAACATTCAACGAAAATTATTCTACAACATTCTACAACATTTAACGCGAAAACTACAATTTTTTACAACTTTTCGTTGTTGTAAAGAGTTGTAATTTATAACAAATTTCTACAACATTCAACGAAAATTATTCTACAACGTTCTACAACATTTAACGCGAAAACTACAATTTTCTACAATTTTTTACAACTTTTCGTTGTTGTAAAGAGTTGTAATTTATAACAAATTTCTACAACATTCAATGAAAATAATTCTACAACATTCTACAACATTTAACGCGAAAACTACAATTTTCTACAATTTTTTACAACTTTTCGTTGTTGTAAAGAGTTGTAATTTATAACAAATTTCTACAACATTCAACGAAAATTATTCTACAACGTTCTACAACATTTAACGTGAAAACTACAATTTTCTACAATTTTTTACAACTTTTCGTTGTTGTAAAGAGTTGTAATTTATAACAAATGTCTACAACATTCAATGAAAATAATTCTACAACATTCTACAACATTTAACGCGAAAACTACAATTTTCTACAATTTTTTACAACTTTTTGTATTGTTGTAGAGAGTTGTAAAGAGTTGTAATTTATTACAACATTTTACAACAATAATTCTACAACATTCTACAACATTTAACGTGAAAACTACAATTTTCTACAATTTTTTACAACTTTTCGTTGTTGTAAAGAGTTGTAATTTATAACAAATTTCTACAACATTCAACGAAAATTATTCTACAACGTTCTACAACATTTAACGTGAAAACTACAATTTTCTACAATTTTTTACAACTTTTCGTTGTTGTAAAGAGTTGTAATTTATAACAAATGTCTACAACATTCAATGAAAATAATTCTACAACATTCTACAACATTTAACGCGAAAACTACAATTTTCTACAATTTTTTACAACTTTTTGTATTGTTGTAGAGAGTTGTAAAGAGTTGTAATTTATTACAAATTTTTACAACATTTTACAACAATAATTCTACAACATTCAACGTGATAACTACAATTTTCTACAAATTTTTACAACTTTTTGTTGTTGTAGAAAGTTGTAACTCAAAACAAATCTCAACAACATTCAACGTAAAACTACTTCTGCTTAACCCTGGTGGAAATAATTCTACAACATTCTACAACATTTAACGCGAAAGCTACAACTTTCTACGCGACTTTGCTACAACATTTAATGATTCTCTACAACTTTCTACAAGACACTACTACATTATTTTAAATAACGTAGAAAATTGTTCAAAGTTGTAGCTTTTGCTACAATTTTCTACAAGATATTACGCGGATTGGGACATTATTGTTATATTTCGTAGAAAGTTGTAGCTTACTAATATCATAGTATGCTACAACTTTGAACAATTTTCTACAAGATATTACGCGGATTGGGACATTATTGTTATATTTCGTAGAAAATTGTTTAAAGTTGTAGCATAGTAATATATTAGTAAGCTACAACTTTGAACAATTTTCTACAAGATTTTACGCGGATTGGGACATTATTGTTATATTTCGTAGAAAATTGTTCAAAGTTGTAGCTTACTAATATTTTACTATGCTACAACTTTTAACAATTTTCTACGAAATATAACAATATCTTGTAGAAAATTTTAGACGTACGAAATTTGTTTAAATTGTTTTTTTAAAAATTGTTGCTTGTCTAATTTAAAACCATTATTTTATATTATTTTAACTTTGCTAAATCTAAGTGTTTATAATTTATTTTTTTAAAAGAAAAGATTAAATTAAAAATACTTACTTTGTGGGCAACATTTGCTTTTTTGGTGGGTGATACTTCTTATAATTAATGATTTATAAGAAAACATTATTAACATTAATAGGAATCTATTGTAGTCGCTGATGCCGTCTACATTGACTACAATATTGTTTTTTGTATATTATATTATATTATTATATTGTACATATTATGTTATATTAAATTTACCATCCCTTTATTACCTCACTATAGTGAATCAAATTTTGCAGCAATGACTAAAGGAGGTGGTTTGATTTTCTTTGGTTTTTGGCCGGGCTGAGTCTGGAATGTTAGGAATTACATTTCTTCCAGATTGGCTGGTTATAGCTTTCTGACTATCATTACTTTCCATGGGTTGGGCTTCTGGTTGATCATTAAATTTTGGAATTACATTTTCAATTGTTAAACCTTCATATTTATTACTTATAACTAGTTCAGGTTTCTTAATATTGCCTTTATTCACTCTCTTAAAAGGAATGGTTTTATTTGGGATTTGGAAATTTTGTTAATTATTTTCTGGATTGATTTTATCATTAGCGGTGTTTCCATTTAAAGAAGTTATACTATTGCTTGCAGACAGGCCTTCGTCTGCCTTTCTTTTTATATTTTTATCATTTAATTCTATTGGTGTTGTCATATTAGTATCGGATTGGTCAGTTAGCTCTTCGAAATCGTCTGAATTTATTTTTGAATTTTTAAATAAACGTAATTTCTCGAACTTATAATCTTTTCTAGCTTGAATTCTCTGCTTATGCTTCAGGCCCTGTTCAATCGTTTTTCTGTATATTTTCTTGTTTTTATCTTTTTTTATTAATTTGGGAAATTAATCAACTGACAATGGAAACTTCTGTCAGCTGACAACACTGACTTTTCTGGTTTTTCTGCTTTGTTGCACTTTTTTAGCTAATTTAATGATATTTTGTGCTAACCTTATATGTTACAGGTTTCTTGCTTCATTATCAATATATTATCGTCTATTTATCAATATAATTCTCTATAATTCTTTATTTATCGCAACAGGACAAAATATTCTGACGCCTTTCAACTTCAGAAAGTAAAAAACACAGTCTGTGGTAAAAAATGATGTACCTATAGTTTTACGTTGAATGTTGTTGAGATTTGTTTTGAGTTACAACTTTCTACAACAACAAAAAGTTGTAAAAAATTGTAGAAAATTGTAGTTATCGCGTTGAAGGTTGTAGAATGTTGTAGAAATTTGTTATGAGTTGAATGTTGTAAAAATTTGTAATAAGTTACAACTCTTTACAACAACGAAAAGTTGTAAAAGTTTGTAGAAAATTGTAGTTATCACGTTGAAGGTTGTAGAATGTTGTAGAATTATTTCCGTTGAATGTTGTAGAAATTTGTTATAAGTAACAACTTCCTACAACAACAAAAAGTTGTAAAAAATTGCAGCTATCGCGTTAAATGTTGTAGAATGTTGTAGAATTATTTTCGTTGAATGTTGTAAAAATTTGTAATAAATTACAACTCTTTACAACTCTCTACAACAACACAAAAAGTTGTAAAAAAATTGTAGAAAATTGTAGTTTTCGCGTTAAATGTTGTAGAATTATTTTCATTGAATGTTGTAGAAATTTGTTATAAATTACAACTCTTTACAACAACGAAAAGTTGTAAAAAATTGTAGAAAGTTGTAGTTTTCACGTTAAATGTTGTAGAACGTTGTAGAATAATTTTCGTTGAATGTTGTAGAAATTTGTTATAAATAACAACTCTTTACAACAACGAAAAGTTGTAAAAAATTGTAGAAAATTGTAGTTTTCACGTTAAATGTTGTAGAATGTTGTAGAATTATTTTCATTTAATGTTGTAGAAATTTGTTATAAATTACAACTCTTTACAACAACGAAAAGTTGTAAAAAATTGTAGAAAATTGTAGTTTTCACGTTAAATGTTGTAGAACGTTGTAGAATAATTTTCGTTGAATGTTGTAGAAATTTGTTATAAATTACAACTCTTTACAACAACTAAAAGTTGTAAAAAATTGTAGAAAATTGTAGTTTTCGCGTTAAATGTTGTAGAATGTTGTAGAATAATTTTCGTTGAATGTTGTAGAAATTTGTTATAAACTACAACTCTTTACAACAACGAAAAGTTGTAAAAAATTGTAGAAAATTGTAGTTTTCACGTTAAATGTTGTAGAATGTTGTAGAATTATTGTTGTAAAATGTTGTAAAAATTTGTAATAAATAACAAGTCTTTACAACTCTCTACAACAATACAAAAAGTTGTAAAAAATTGTAGAAAGTTGTAGTTTTCGCGTTAAATGTTGTAGAATGTTGTAGAATCATTTCCACCAGGGAAGACTTTAATTAAATACTCTGACACTGTCAGTAATATTTATTATTGATAATTTTCTTGTTAATTATTATATAATATAGATATAAACTATGCCAAAAATAATATCAGATTCTTAAGGGCAAAAAAGTAAATTGCCTTATGGACATTTTTGGAGTAAAAAAGTAACGTTTTTGGTTTTAAGCAGATCGAAAATTTTTGAAATTTTAAAAAATAATGGAAATAAAAAAACAAAAAATAAAAGTTATTTGCTGTTAGGTTCAACCTTTTTGTGAAAAATCTAATAGTTAATTTCCCTGTCTTTGAAAATAGCATCCATTTTGTTTGAAAAAGATAAGCAATAATTGCGAAACTTTCTTCTTTCAATTTGCAAGATACTGATCATTAATAGTCCTGGACAATATATACATTATAATTATTATTAAGCCACTACAAATTTTAATTTCTTTTATATAAACTCTTTTTAAAGCGAAGATTATTATCCTCTAGGAATACTTTGTCTCCTAGGCCGTAGTCACCTATATTTAACTACTTTTTATATGATTTTACTCATATACACACCGCCAAATCCAAATTAATTGCATTTTTAACTACGAATTTTGACAACTCAACTTGACAAGCGTTCAATGTAACCTGCAATAATTTAAACATAACCACAATTACATTTATAACTAGTTTAGTTTTACCAACCAAACCCCTAAATTTGCAATGTTGCCGCAGTCCAGATAAAAAAATTTTCTTTACTCTAATTTTTTGTTAAATATCGTTTTTATTGTAGTAACTGACTGTCTTCAATACCCAGATTTTAGTTGTGTTGTGATGTATAAAAAACTTATAGTGGCCTTTGCATTTTTAATTCCCGATGTTAAACACATAGAAAATTACATTTCATTTGTTTTTACGAGGCCGGCTTGGAGAAATTGCGGTATTGCCAAATTTATGATTTACCATCTTATACAAGTAAGTAAAAAACAGATTAAAGATGGAGCAATGTAAACCTTTTTTTTAGACCAGTCTTGGAAAAGATATTACACTTCATGTTTCAATAAATAGTCCGGCACTGTTTTTGTACCAAAAATTCGGTTTTAAAGTGGAGCAGTACGTGATGAATTTTTACGATAAATATTACAGAGATGACGTAAAAGAATCGAAACACGCGTTTTTTTGCAGATTAGAAAGGTAATCTATTTGAATAAATTATTCTTAATCTACAATAATGGTTTTATTTCATAATTAAAGTTTTCCTAAGGTTAAATAAAATAAATAAATAAACTTAAAATGTTTTATTCTCTTTATACAATTTCTTTGGTTAAAATAATTACAAAAAAATATGGCAATATTATGAAGATTGTCTAATAAAATTGTATTATTAAAAGGTCACGTTTTTATTAAAAACAAATATTAATTATTAGTAGTTTAAAACAAACAGTATTTTATATTTAAAAGAAGAAAATTTACTAAAAAGTACATATTGTAATATATTTATATTAAGTATATGGCTGTTTCAAAATTTTAATAATAATAATAATAATAAACTTTATTGGAAATCCAAAAGGCTAACGACTTTCGTCTTCCTGCCCAATTACAATTTTGTATATTACAAATACTATATTTTAATTTATGTTCTGTACTTTACAAAAAAAAAAAAAAATGTTATAATTAAATATATTGTTAATATCTTCATTATTCTTCTGTCAATTCCCTGAGTGAGTCATACAACGATTTCTCTGGGTATTTTCTCCTTGGTGTTGTCTCAAAATTTTATTCAATCAAATAATAAAATCCCTGTGTAGTCCAAAATGTACAATTATACAAAAACGAGTATATTCTAAAATTTACCTCCAATGTGGATAAAAATGGGACATACAATACTCCATATTCTTAAGCAACAATATTCTACAATTTTCTTAGAATTAAACCTACTAAGGGGCACTTAAATATTACATATACAATACATTTGTACATTGATCCCTATTTAGTTTTTAATTAAAATTGCATACACAGAAAATATGTTTACAGACATACTATAGATTTCTGAATTAAAATAAGTTATTAAACCACATATTTATAGAAATATGCAAGTTGCGGTTAAAAATACAACTTTGGACAAAAGATGGGCAAAATTGACTTATTTTAACCCAAAAAATCTATGGTAATAAGTTGTATGACAAGTATTTATAAATACCTTAATATAATACTTAAATGCGCCTTCGTTTAACTGTTGGAGTGACTGTGATCGGACTAGATTTTCCACTAGATCCCGAGTCGTCATTTGGCTTTAAGCTGCCCCTGGTGGGCCTTTTTGGTTGGGGTTGCTTGGGAGTGTCTTCGATTTTAGTATTTTTAGTTTTTGCATCGTCCCTGGGGGGTACTTACGGAATTTCTGCCCTTCGCTGCAGCTTTGGGTTTTTCAGTCTCTTTTTTAACCTCCTTTTTAGCGTTTTGCGGCGTTTTGTTGTTGTCTTTGCTGTCCTTACTGTCTCTACGAGGCACCTCCTTGTTGTTTCGAACGGGTGTGGATTTGTTCTCTTCTTTTTTTGTTTCTTTGAGGTTTTTCGGGGTTTCTCGACCTTTTTGTGGCGGTTTATTGTTTTTTTCTTCGTCCTTTTTAATCAACAAAGTACCAAAATCGGATTCTGGTAAGACAAATTCTTTTTCGGTGTTTGGAAATGGAATGGATTCACTTTCATCTAAAGCCTCTAAATTGTACATCGTTTCAAGATGTGACCAGATTTTTTCAGGATTTACATCCTTATTCAAAATATCCGTAAACTTATCGCAAATAAAAGCCATTTGAAAATATTTATTGACACCTAAAAGATTTTGAGGTTAGGAATGCAATCGCATTATATTTTTGAAATTATCGAGCCTTTACCGACGGGTTTGTGTCCCACCATCGCATCCAACAATTGCCCTTCATGAATTACGTTCCATTCGAAGTCGTCCATCGTAGTTTTTGAAATATTTGATAAAGATTTTTAAAAAACAAACATATTAAACGCAACTGTCAAGTTTTTGATTGTCGGTAAACAAAATCCCTTTTAAATTCATTGCCAACATAAAGTCATAAAAATATTTTTAAGTTTTTGCTTTTAAATTAGATTTTGAGATGGCGCCACCGTTTATTTTAAAAATTATACATTGTTGCCGGTTGCTACAATTTGTAGGAAGCATGGGATTTCTATATAGTGGTTTTAAGATTCTTCGTTCTGTTAATGATATAATTAATACCCAAGGGCTATAATTCAATTAAATAAACTAAAATTGTTGATTAAAGATCAATTTCTTACTCAACATTCCTAGATAGGTTGATGTTAATTTTAGTTTGTTTTTTAGCATTTCTAGAATGTTATTTTAATTATAATTAGGTATAAACGGGATTATAGAATAGATAAATTTGCTTTAATGATGAATTATCTAAAATTAAAACTAAGTGTCAATTTTCACGCATAATTCTTATCTTATCGTGGGTAGGTATTTGGATTTATTTATTTATTTTAAATTTATTTATGTATTTGCAAAATTTAAGGATTCGTAAAATTAAAAATACATAATTTTAAAAGAAAATGCATATTTAAAAACGGGTTTTTTCCATGGTTTAAATATTAGGGTGATTAAAAAAAGACCATATTTTATTATTCGTTTTATCAAATCTTTATACATATTTTTGTAGGAAATTTGTACAAAAAGGGCTGATGTGTTTAAGCGATTACTTTAACCATTTAAAAGATATTCAAGATCAAAGTCTTAAAGAATTTTTTTATATATAATTTTATAACTCATTAAAAATAATTATTGTCAAATGAGTATGACATATTTTTATAGTAAATTTAACGCTCTACAAAAGAGGTTTGATGTGTTTAATTGATTACTCTAACCGTTGAGAAGATATCGTATCTGAAGAACTTTTTATGAAGAATAACTTTTTTTCTTAAAATTAATAATAAAAAGTATCCCTTATGTTGCCAACTTAAATAGACACACTGTATACAGTATCCCCGTAAGTTCTCTGCAAAATTATTATTGATTTGACGAAATAAATTTCTCTTTATAAACAATTCTGCGTTTTAAAAAAATAATATTAGAATATTAAACCTTGAAATAGTATATAGGATAATATAAAAAATTACTCAAGAAAGAACTTTTTTATTATTAATTTTACGAAAAAAAGTTACCTAGGTATTCTTTATAATATAATATATTCTTCCTATAAAAAAAACATAATATTGGACTATTAAAACGTAAAATAAAAATTAAGGGTAGGATAAACCACATAGTTATTGGATTATTATTTATTTAAAATTTATATATGCCGTTGTTTTAAAGATTTTAGTTTTTTTCTTATGAATATATAAAAAGGATAGTTTCTTTGTTTAAACTTTATTTACGTTTACTTAAAAATAAGAATATTTGAATTTTTAATAATAGTTTTATAAAAACATGCAAAAAGTATAGTAATTGGACATTTTATATAGTAATTGGACACATGGACCATAGTTATTGGACATACAATTTATATATAAACATAACAACTTTACATCAAATAATATAAATTGTTAAATATTTTTTAAAGATAAATTGCTGTTTTAGGTAATTTTTTTATTTTTTCTCGGATTCCTCATCCCTTTTCTGGATTCTGAAGTTAACTACTATAGTAGAATTATAATTCCTTGGTCTGACTTCTGAAATAGTTTGTTGCAAATATCATCATATGTGTGGTATCTCTAGTTTGTGAAGCATTTATAATGTTTAGGCCGGAACAGGATGATTTATACATATCTAATATTTTTTCGGGTGGTATGTTAAAAGATTTTTCCGAATTTATTAATTGTGTTGCCAATAGTTTTTTATGTTCTCTATCATGCACTGTATTTAAATCACTGTTATTCTGCAAGATGTCCTGTGACGAAGAAATCACTACATTACTTACTCTCTAAAAATGAATTAGTCAAAAATGTTATAGCGAAAAAGCAGCCACTAATAATTCTCGTCAACAGCAGTTTGTATCTAGGACATTTAGAAGTCAATTCCTAATATTATTCGCTGAATCCAAAAATGTCGTCAAAAGTTATAAAAGTAGAACAGTTTTTGAAATATAATCAATTAATTAATTTTACATAGGTACAATGTTAATATAAACTTTTTAAATATTGGCGTTGAGAAACTATTTAATATTTTTGTATTTTTGTATTGAGATAATAAAATAATTTTCACATTTAGTATTATTTTACAAGAAAGGCACTTTATTTTAACGATTGTATGACATTTGACAACTGTCAACTAACTTAAAACTAACTTCAGCCCGTGACTAAAATCCTGTTGCTAACTTCAGCCCGTGACTAAAGCGCCGTAAAGCCACAACTTGTCAATGTGTATTTAAAAGGTCACTTAGTGTCATGGAAACATGTACGATAAAGGGCGTTTTAAAGGTGGGAGTAAAAAAATAATTTAAAATGGACTTTATGACAGTTCAAAAAGTTAAAACTTTACCATAATATTTTAATTATAATTTTTCCCCAAACAGTGAAAAAATAAACCCGAGGCATTTATTGTATAAAATTACAGAAATATAAATGCATTTGTAGATAATCATTACAGTAGTAATTATACCTATGAAAAAAAAAACAATATTTTTGGTGCAATTATTGTAAACAATTTGTTATGTACATATGTATTGGAGATATTATAATTTTAAATAAAGATAACATCTAAATTTGGTACTTAAATATTAAAATAAACGCTTTAAAACTAATTTATTAGAAGGCTTCAGAACGGTTTTTAGCCATTTCCATGCAAATTATAACAGGCGTTTATGGTAAAAAACCGCTTCCTACATATGTTACGTTTTAGAACATATTTTGTTTCGAGACACTTTTTTTTTCATCCAAATTTAAAAATATTTTCAAGACATCATCAAATTTGATTGAGTTACAGCGGCTCCGAAATCTAGCGGTGAATACCTCGGATAATAGCTTTTCTATGAAACAGAAATAAAAACAAGCAAAGATAAATAGCATTGTAGTCAGTGGCGCGATAAAAACACCGTGGCCAATCAACTCTAGCATTGACAACCAAAAAATCTATCGAAACCAGAGTGCTGCGGAGCCCAGAAAGAACAAGAAGAAGAAGAAGAATAAGTAAAAGGCAAAGGAAAAAAAGAATCGGGTGTTGGTGCAGCAAGGC